CATGCAGTAAACATGTCACAAAGTATATATTGAATGCTTGCAACTTACTTAGCAAATGCAGGGGATTTTAAGAGGTACAATCAGCTTTTATAAAAATTTTTGTTTTCTAAGATGTTTGCATTCTTGGTGGTACAGATAGGGAGACAAACTTATATGCATTAAATAATAGAATATGGAACCAGATAATTAATTACATGGCACCAGTAGAAACCATCATATTTATTCAGAAAAGATGGATGAAGAAAAACTTCATGGAAAAGGAAGAACTTGACGGAGTCCTGAATAGAGTTTGCTCTTTGGGAGAGCAGAGCACAGGGACAGTGATGAGAGTGACCTGCTGTCCTAGGGGATGGTGAAGGGATCAACCTGATACAAAAGGGGGTGGAAGAATTATGGAAAGTGAGGCTGGTGTTATTTTCAAGTATTTATTTGAAATTGTGTTTCAAATTTTTTTAAAAAGGTAAAATCATGACTCTCAGGCAAATATAAAATAAACATGTGCCAAAGGTTTTATTTAACTAATTAATTAATAGAGGAGCCAGTAAGATGGTGAAGAGCAGTGGAGATGCTAGGTGTGGAGCCTGGATGGATATAGATCAAGTCCATAAGTTAATAGGCAATTTAATAAATAAATGTAAAGGTAAGATTGCTGGGTTAGATACAAAACTAATTAATGTCTTGACAGGACAATAAACCCTCATCTTTTGAGTCATCTGTTTCACTGGACAGTATATCTCTACTGAAAAAAAAACCAACAACTGTAAGTTAACATGTAACTTGGCTAATTCTGGGACATTTAATATATTTAATCAGTAGTAAACAGAGAGTAGAACTAAATACATTCACATACCCAAGATCGTCCTTGGGTAGCCTTTCTTCCAATGACATTGAGAAGATGTGCTGTCCACTATTTTTTTTATTTACAAATTTTAGATTGTTTGTGTGTGTGTGTGTGTGTGTGTGTGTGTGTGTGTGTGTGTGTATTTTATAATAGTGACCTACAAGAAATGGAGGAAAACCTGGGGTTTGCTTCAGTGCCCTTTCAAGGTTCTGAGATGGGACTCCCTGTGTGTTTTTATTCTCTATTTAGTTCCTGAATAGCTCAGACAGAGAAGTCCCAAGTTCCCTTGGCCCAGAGTCCCATCTTCCCATAATCTTTTCATTTTAGTTACCACTGACAATCGGCTAGCTCCAGGCTTGGGTGGGCCTTCATTACCCACTCTGGATGATGGTAGATCAGAAGAAATGGGGCATGAGGTAGGGTTCCTGGGTGGGAAGGCTCATGTAACCCCATCCTGGTTCCCAGGTCTCATGCCCACAGGGGTGGGCGGGCTCCTCCGTGCCAGGCGGCTGCGGCCCATGGAGTCCTGAGCTTCTCTCTCTGGCTGACTCTTCCTACCTAGAATTTCCTATCAGTGTGTTGCAGGTGCCATGTACATCACTGGCTTCGCTGAGTCCATCTCCGATTTGCTGAGCCTCAGGAATATCTGGGCCGTGCGAGGGATTTCAGTCGCGGTGCTTGTGGCCTTGCTGGGGATTAACCTAGCGGGCGTCAAGTGGATCATCCGGCTCCAGCTGCTGCTACTGCTCTTGCTGGCCGTGTCCACACTGGACTTCGTGCTGGGCTCTTTCACACACCTGGACCCAGGTAAGCCTTTGGCGTTCAATGGATGGCCTTCCAGGGTCTGCACTGCTTTCTAGGTGTTTATAGATGTGAGTTTGCAAGACTACTCCCAATTAGGCTTTACCTGTAACAGGCCTGTGCTTTTTCTGGAGCAAGTGAGTGGGTGTGCCTTGGCGCGGCTTCAGAGGCCCAACAGCCCCTTTTCACACAGACATTTTCACTTAGCACATTTTCTGTGTTTCTTTTTTTTTTCTTTGTATTAAAAAACCTGGAAAGTTTAGATGAGACAAAAGATAAAGTCGAACTGGATAAACATCAAATTCATAATGGTGATTACGGGAGGAGGCAAGAAATAGATCTGGGAGTAGGGAAGAAAATAGACTTTAATTTTATCTGTTATACTTTATTTTTTAAAAGAAATTGATGTAAATGTTAACAGTGATCATTTTGGGAGATGGAGGTATATATCAGTTTGATTATCTGTAGTTTTCTATGTTGAAATGTTTTTCAAAGTAAAAATGTGAACCTATTAACTAAGCTTAAAGAAAGAGACTAAACAGCCAGGTATGCTTTGGGACCATTGGGAAATGGTGTCCTATGCTGGTACTCAGTCTATGACTGTTGTTTTGTTTTGTTTTTTAAGCTGAGCCATCCTGCCACCTGTTGGCAGCTCAGTGGCAGCTCAGCTTGGGCCGGGAATCAAACCGCTGTTGCTCAGAGCTTTCACTCTTGAGCGAGCTCTTAACCAACTGAGCCACTCGGCCAACCCCAGACTGTGACTGTTTAACCATGGTTTTCCTCAGCCTTAGGGATGCTCAGCAACTCTAATCCTAAATCCTTCTGCTTGGAGTGAGAAGCTCTTACCCAGGCTGTCCCATAACTTCATAGTTTTGTGATTTGAGTTGGTTTGGCATCCAGAGTACAGAGCTATTCCTAGGATGCTGTAGAAAAAAGGTAACTGCCTGATATTTCACACTTCGGGGACTCTGTCTTTATGTGGCAATAGTGACGAGGAATCTACGTTGGAATATGGGCGGGAAAGGGAGATGGGGCCACCAGCTGTGTTAAAAAAGAGACAAGAAGGTCCTGCAGCACAGTTGCCTCTGATGGTAGTGGTGGTGACAGCAGCTGCACGGACTGAGCACTTGCTGTGTGCCAGGCATTTTGCTTGGCACCTCATGTGGCTTATGTTGTGTAATCCTTATCATAACCTCACGAAGGAAGAATAGTTACACCCATTTACAGATGAGGAGGCTGAGGCTCGGAGATCATCTAATTCATGGCAATGCATGGCAGAGCTGGGAGTGAAACTGGAGCTAGGTGACTCCAAAGCTGAGCTGTTCCCTCAAGCGGGAAGTTGGGCCTGCCTTCACACTACTGGCTGTCTTTTTGCGATAGCAGCTCTCCTTTTCCCTTCCAAGGCTGCCTCTGATGTGTGTCCTATACAGGCTTGTCTTTCATAAAAATGTTGGTGGAAGGAAGGTCAGGATTCAGTTGGTACTACACACTGATCTGGCCTTATCACTTCTTTATATATTAATTTTTTTTCTACTGGAAAGTCAGTCACTTGGTGACTCCCCTGAGCTCCCCTTGTGCCCCCTACCCTCTGGCACCCTGGTCCCTCCTCCAGACTGCCCCATGACCCAACATGTAGAGAAGGGGTCCCAGGACCCACTCCAATGCGAAGGGCCAATGCAGTGTCCAAACAGATCATGTGAATCCTGGGCCTGGCAGCTTGCTAAATATTTGGAGCATCTCCACGGGAGGGAAGGGGTGATTATTTTTCCTGACATTGTGGCACCCTGTAGAGACAAGCCATATCCTGAGGGACATCTGCTGCCTGTTTGGCCATCAAACTGTCAGTGCAGGAGAGAGAGGGTCTACCCCAGTCTCTGATTCCTGGGTGCTTCTCCCCTCCATCCATATGGTTGCTTAAAGGGTATACTTAGTTAAATTGTAGGATGACGCTACTGGCCTCTTTGAAACCTCACAAGGCTGATGTATTTTCCTTCTTCTTGATTAGAGCTTTTCTTGGCTGCTCTTCTAAGTTACTTCAAATATTTCTCCTTCTTTCTGGTCAGTACATTAGCAGGGTGTAGTGTGAAATAAAATTTATTTTCAATCATCCCCATAGCAACTGGCCCCTCCATAATCTGTTTTTGGTATCACTGATGTTTTATATATGGGGCTACTTTCTTTGCAGTTAAAAATCCAAACTAAAACTAGATCATAATACTTCAGAATGGATTTAGCAGAATGATTTCAACTCCTTAAAAAAAACAATGACATATACATAGGTATTTGAAAAAAAAAAACCAGGAAGAAGGATGGGAAGGAACTATGCTTCGGTGTTAACAGTGTTTATCTTCTGCTAAGATTACAGGTGGCTATATTATTTTATTTCTACTTTTCCTTCAATTGATTAATGTTACTTAAAAAAAATAGCCTTTAGTTTTTAAGAGCAGTTTCGGTTTACAGAAAATTGAGCGGATAGTTCAGAGGTTCTGATATCCTTTCTCTTCACACCCCCCCACCAGTTTCCCCATTATTAACAGCTTGTATTAATGTGGTGCATTTGTCACAACTGATGAGCCAATAGTGACACATTATTATTAACTAAAGCTCATAATTGAGGGTAGATTCACCCTTTGTACTGTACAGTTCTATGGGCTGTGAAAAGTATATAATGACATGTATCCACCTTTGCAGCATCGTACGGAACAGTTTTAATGCCTTAAAAATCCCTGTGCTCTAACTTTTCACCCCTTGTCCAACCTTGAACTCCCCACAACCACTGATCTTCTTATTGTCTCTGTAGTTTTGCCTTTTCCAGAATGTCACAGAGTTGGAGTCATACAGTATGCAGCATATTCAGGCTGGCTTCTTTCATTAAGCAGTATGCACTCAAGGTTTCTCCGTGTCTTTTCATGGCTTGATAGCTCATTTCTTTTTTAGCAGTGAATAATATTCCATTGCATAGCTGTACCACAGTTGTTGTTTTTTTAATCCATTTACGTATTGAAGGACTTTTTGGTTTCTTCCAGCTTTTGGCACTTATGAATAAAGTTTCTATAAATGTTCATGTGCAGGTTTTGTGAGAATATAACTTTTTAACCCTTTTGAATAAATACCCGGGAACATGATTGCTGGATTATATGATAAGACTATGTTTATCTTTGTAGGAAACTTCCAAAGTGTCTTCCAAAGTGCTTTTGTACCATTTTGCATTCTCATCTGCAGCAAATGAGAGTTCATGCTGTTCCACATCCTCATCAGCATTTGCTATTGTCAGTTTTTTGGATTTTAGCCATTCTAATAGGTACATAGTGGTGGTATCTCATTATTGTTTTAATTTGCAATTTCCTAATGAGCCTTTTCATATGGTTATTTGACTTCTGTATATCATCTTTGGTGAGGTGTCTGTTCAGATTTTTTGCCCCTTTTAAAAATTGGGTTGTTTTGTTATTGTTGAGTTTTAAGAATTCTTTGTATATTTTGGATACAAGCCCTTTATCAGATATGTTTTGTAAATATCTGTGGGGTTTTTTTTTTTCATTCTTTTAACAGTGTTGTTTGCAGAGCATACATTTTTAGTTGTAATGAAGTTTAACTTATCAATTATTTTCTTTCATGGATTATACTTTTGATGTTGTACCTAAAAAGTCCCTACTAAATGCAAAGTCACTTAGCTTTTTCTCCTATGTTATTTTCTAGAAGTTTTATAGTTTTGTGTTTTACATGTAGGTCTATGATCCATTTTGAGTTAATTCTTGTGAAAAATGTAAGGTGAATGTCTAGATTAAAAAACAATATTATTATTATTATTATTATTATTATTATTATTATTATTATTATTATTACATGTGAATATCCAGCCTTCCCAGCACCATTTGCTGAAATGACTATCCTACCTCCATTGAATGGCCTTTGCTCCATTGTCAAAGATCAGTTACTGTATTAGTGTGGGTTTATTTCTGGGCTCTTTATTCCATTCCCACTTTTGATCTCCAGAGGAAGTTTGGTATAGCTGTTAGTTATCTATTGCTGTTGAACAAATGACCTCAAAGTTTAGTGGCACAAAACAACAATAGATATTTAATCTTTCTTACCTTTTCTGTGGGCCACGAGTTTGGTTGTGACTTGGCTGGTGGTTCTGGCTCAAGGTTTCTCATGAGTTTCAGTCAGATGTTAGCAGGGACTGCAGTTATCTGAAGGCTGGACTGGGGCTGGAGGATTTGGCTGGCAAATTAGTACTGGTTGTTGGTGTGCGGCCTCAGTTCTTTTCCATGTGGCACTTTCCTGAGAGCTGCTTACGTGTCCTCAAGTCATGGGCTGACTAGTTTCCCCAAGAGTAAACAATCAGAAAGAGAGAACAAGCTTTCCTCTTAATGACTTACTTCAGAAATCACATAGCAACGACTTCACCACAATGTTTGTTAAAAGTGAGTCACTTAGTCTGACCCTTATTCAAAGGGAGGAGAATTAGTTTCCACCTTTTGAATGAGACGTGCCAAAAAATTTGCAGACACATTTTAAAACCACACAGTTAATGTTAAAATCATAAATAAATAAATACACTTAAGTCAAATTATATTTTCCCTTTATTTCAAAGACAAAAATAAATGTTTTTGTATTGTAAAAAAATATATATCCTGAAATATAAAGAAAAAGTGAAAGGTTCCTCCCCTTACTCCATTCTCCCACTCCTACTCCCCAGAGGGAGATTGGTAAATACCTTTCCAGTCTATTTTCCTTCCATGTACAAGCACACATGCACACAAAAACGTACATAAACACAACATAGTTCTTTGTAGAAATGTGATTAAATTCTACATTGTTCTGCTTTTCCTCTCCTCTCAGTAGCATATTATGGGTATCCTGTAATGTCAGTACATTAAAGATTCCCTCATTCTTTTTAAATACCTGCATAGTATTCTATATTATAGATCTAAAATACTTTATATTTAAACATTCATTTATTGATGAACATTTAGTTTTCTCCAGTTTGTTGCTACTACAAATAT